GGCACCGCCACGCACCGCCGAGCCGTCTGCCGCCGACCTGCAGGCAGAGAGAGAGGGACAGAACAGAATAGGTGAACAACCAGTAGAAAGCGCCTAAAGAAACTCATTGATAATCCTAGATCCCATCCCAGAGGATGCGGGGAAAGTAGTGTCTAACCCTGTGCAACGAGCTGAAAAAGCCAAAGGCAGAAAACTCCGTGGTAGGTACAGAGTAATCAGAATCAGTAAAACTTTGTTGTCTCTCTGTTTTTCTTTTATTTTTTTTTCCCCGAATAGCAGATTATCTATCTCTTGTTTACCTGTCAATCAAACTGTCTATCTGTCTATCTGTCTATCCGTCCATCCATGTATATATTCATTCATTCATTCATTCATTCATTCATCCATCCATATCTCTCTCTCTCTCTCTCAAATATTCCTTTCCGGAGAAAATAATTACAGAAAATTTGCTCCTTCCCGGAGCAAATAACTACAGGAAAAAAAATGCTTACAGCTAAGAAAGAATAGTAAAAAAAAAAAAAAAAAAACCACTAAATTATTCTCTCTAAATGAAACAGCAATAAAACCTAAAAGCTGTCTTCTTTTTAAAGCATCCAACACACTGGGAGCTGTGTTCGAGTTAGAAACCAATGTCCTCGGCAAGAAAAAAAAATCTATTCAAATTCATATGAAGTCATATAAAAAAAAAATCCAGAAGGCAAATAAAAATAGTAATCCATACCTAAACCGAACAGAAGTAAAAATCACCGGTAAGGTTTGGGGGTATTTTGCACTGGAGTAAGGCACTGTGAGTTGTTCGCTGCAGAGACAGGAGGGCTCTGTGGAGTTCTGGAAGTGGCCAGATGTCTTTATATCTGTCTACAGCATGCTCTGCCTCTCAGCACTTGCCTTTATAATCTCACGCATAATTGGCCTTAATCTGATTATTTCCAGCGCTGTCTACGGTGAGTAACTTGGATAGGTCTATTGGGCCCTACAAATGGCCCACGTGGTGTGCAGAGCAGGGGGAAGGAAAAAAAAAAAAAAGATGAAAAGAAAGTTACATATGCATAGGCATCA